AGTAGAAGAAAGCATCCTGGAAAATAATAAGGTTAGATTATGCCTAATTATTTTTCTTGTCAATATTGAGGTCTGCAGCACATCAGAACTAGAGTCGGTGTATAATGAGTCACGCCAAGAGTGAAGCCAAGTCTACCTATTGAACTGTCAAACCGGCTACCTATCGTGCAAAGCAAACAAACATTACGATGCTTTGAAAGGTCAACGAAAGGTATTGCAATAAAATATAAAATATAATCGAAGAAATGATCATAAACTCGCAGTGAGCATTAAATTGTCATGGGATACGTTTGGTAACGATCAGTAATGAGAATTTCTACTATTTTTTGTTAAGATGATTGGACAAAATCACTTGATATAATGATTTACCACAGACGCTATTTATTTTTCGCTCGCTAGAAGTCATTTGAAGTTTATGTAGCAGTCCTCTGTTGCCAAGCGAAAAGAAAAGGAATCTTTCGAAAACCGTGATGCGAGTTCAACTGTTTTTCTCTTGGCGTGACTCATTATACACCGACTCTAATCAGAACTACTAACTACTACTAACGTCAAATCGGCCAGGCCTACTGCCGCAAAGATGATTCTTTGAAATGCTTCGGCCGGCGCCGGTGGTGTAGTGGTAAGCGTGACTGCTTTCTCACCCCAATGGGTCTGGGTTCAATCCCAGCCGAAGTCGGTGGGATTTTTCTGAGGCATAAAAATCTCTGGTCACGTCTTCCTTCGGAAGGGAAGTAATGCCGTTGGTCCCGGCCCATGTATTGTGTTTGAATGGTGTGGAAGCTGCTTTTCTGCACATCCGATTGCCGTCAATGGATGGCAATCGATGTCCATCGGTGATTGGCTCTAGATTACGGAACAGAGACCGACGTTAAATAAAGGAAAGAAGAAGAAGAAGAAGAAGAAATGCTTTGAGTCCGAAAAAGTATAGGGGTTATTACAAGAGTCGAAGCGACTCATCCCACCCGTGAAGCGAGAAAAATCTCGCCGCGTTGTCTGTCTGTCTGTCTGTCTGTCTGTCTGTCTGTCTGTCTGTCTGTCTGTCTGTCTGTCTGTCTGTCTGTCTGTCTGTCTGTCTGTCTGTCTGTCTGTCTGTCTGTCTGTCTGTCTGTCTGTCTGTCTGTCTGTCTGTCTGTCTGTCTGTCTGTCTGTCTGTCTGTCTGTCTGTCTGTCTGTCTGTCTGTCTGTCTGTCTGTCTGTCTGTCTGTCTGTCTGTCTGTCTGTCTGTCTGTCTGTCTGTCTGTCTGTCTGTCTGTCTGTCTGTCTGTCTGTCTGTCTGTCTGTCTGTCTGTCTGTCTGTCTGTCTGTCTGTCTGTCTGTCTGTCTGTCTGTCTGTCTGTCTGTCTGTCTGTCTGTCTGTCTGTCTGTCTGTCTGTCTGTCTGTCTGTCTGTCTGTCTGTCTGTCTGTCTGTCTGTCTGTCTGTCTGTCTGTCTGTCTGTCTGTCTGTCTGTCTGTCTGTCTGTCTGTCTGTCTGTCTGTCTGTCTGTCTGTCTGTCTGTCTGTCTGTCTGTCTGTCTGTCTGTCTGTCTGTCTGTCTGTCTGTCTGTCTGTCTGTCTGTCTGTCTGTCTGTCTGTCTGTCTGTCTGTCTGTCTGTCTGTCTGTCTGTCTGTCTGTCTGTCTGTCTGTCTGTCTGTCTGTCTGTCTGTCTGTCTGTCTGTCTGTCTGTCTGTCTGTCTGTCTGTCTGTCTGTCTGTCTGTCTGTCTGTCTGTCTGTCTGTCTGTCTGTCTGTCTGTCTGTCTGTCTGTCTGTCTGTCTGTCTGTCTGTCTGTCTGTCTGTCTGTCTGTCTGTCTGTCTGTCTGTCTGTCTGTCTGTCTGTCTGTCTGTCTGTCTGTCTGTCTGTCTGTCTGTCTGTCTGTCTGTCTGTCTGTCTGTCTGTCTGTCTGTCTGTCTGTCTGTCTGTCTGTCTGTCTGTCTGTCTGTCTGTCTGTCTGTCTGTCTGTCTGTCTGTCTGTCTGTCTGTCTGTCTGTCTGTCTGTCTGTCTGTCTGTCTGTCTGTCTGTCTGTCTGTCTGTCTGTCTGTCTGTCTGTCTGTCTGTCTGTCTGTCTGTCTGTCTGTCTGTCTGTCTGTCTGTCTGTCTGTCTGTCTGTCTGTCTGTCTGTCTGTCTGTCTGTCTGTCTGTCTGTCTGTCTGTCTGTCTGTCTGTCTGTCTGTCTGTCTGTCTGTCTGTCTGTCTGTCTGTCTGTCTGTCTGTCTGTCTGTCTGTCTGTCTGTCTGTCTGTCTGTCTGTCTGTCTGTCTGTCTGTCTGTCTGTCTGTCTGTCTGTCTGTCTGTCTGTCTGTCTGTCTGTCTGTCTGTCTGTCTGTCTGTCTGTCTGTCTGTCTGTCTGTCTGTCTGTCTGTCTGTCTGTCTGTCTGTCTGTCTGTCTGTCTGTCTGTCTGTCTGTCTGTCTGTCTGTCTGTCTGTCTGTCTGTCTGTCTGTCTGTCTGTCTGTCTGTCTGTCTGTCTGTCTGTCTGTCTGTCTGTCTGTCTGTCTGTCTGTCTGTCTGTCTGTCTGTCTGTCTGTCTGTCTGTCTGTCTGTCTGTCTGTCTGTCTGTCTGTCTGTCTGTCTGTCTGTCTGTCTGTCTGTCTGTCTGTCTGTCTGTCTGTCTGTCTGTCTGTCTGTCTGTCTGTCTGTCTGTCTGTCTGTCTGTCTGTCTGTCTGTCTGTCTGTCTGTCTGTCTGTCTGTCTGTCTGTCTGTCTGTCTGTCTGTCTGTCTGTCTGTCTGTCTGTCTGTCTGTCTGTCTGTCTGTCTGTCTGTCTGTCTGTCTGTCTGTCTGTCTGTCTGTCTGTCTGTCTGTCTGTCTGTCTGTCTGTCTGTCTGTCTGTCTGTCTGTCTGTCTGTCTGTCTGTCTGTCTGTCTGTCTGTCTGTCTGTCTGTCTGTCTGTCTGTCTGTCTGTCTGTCTGTCTGTCTGTCTGTCTGTCTGTCTGTCTGTCTGTCTGTCTGTCTGTCTGTCTGTCTGTCTGTCTGTCTGTCTGTCTGTCTGTCTGTCTGTCTGTCTGTCTGTCTGTCTGTCTGTCTGTCTGTCTGTCTGTCTGTCTGTCTGTCTGTCTGTCTGTCTGTCTGTCTGTCTGTCTGTCTGTCTGTCTGTCTGTCTGTCTGTCTGTCTGTCTGTCTGTCTGTCTGTCTGTCTGTCTGTCTGTCTGTCTGTCTGTCTGTCTGTCTGTCTGTCTGTCTGTCTGTCTGTCTGTCTGTCTGTCTGTCTGTCTGTCTGTCTGTCTGTCTGTCTGTCTGTCTGTCTGTCTGTCTGTCTGTCTGTCTGTCTGTCTGTCTGTCTGTCTGTCTGTCTGTCTGTCTGTCTGTCTGTCTGTCTGTCTGTCTGTCTGTCTGTCTGTCTGTCTGTCTGTCTGTCTGTCTGTCTGTCTGTCTGTCTGTCTGTCTGTCTGTCTGTCTGTCTGTCTGTCTGTCTGTCTGTCTGTCTGTCTGTCTGTCTGTCTGTCTGTCTGTCTGTCTGTCTGTCTGTCTGTCTGTCTGTCTGTCTGTCTGTCTGTCTGTCTGTCTGTCTGTCTGTCTGTCTGTCTGTCTGTCTGTCTGTCTGTCTGTCTGTCTGTCTGTCTGTCTGTCTGACCCTTATAGACTCGGAAACTACTGAACCGATTGGCGTGAAAATTTGTATACAGGGGTTTTTGGGGCCGTGGAAGGTTCTTATGATGGTTCGAGACCCCTCCCCTTTCTGTAAGGGGGGGGGGGGGGGGCATACAAATGAAACAGAAATTTCTGCATAACTCGAGAACTAATCAAGCAAATGGAACCAAATTAGGCATGTGGGGGCGAGTGTGGGGGTATAAGGAGATAATCATAGGGGGTAGCCGCTTAGATAATAGGGGGGGGGGGCTACGTACAATATAGCATGCTTTTTTTTTAAATCGGTGCATAAACTCAAGCTAATATTGAATCCCGAGCAAGACCGGGCACACTCAGCTAGTAAATAAATAAATAAATCAAGTAGATGATCCTTTTGCTCCACTATACCCACGGCGCTAGAGGTTTTGGCCACTCCACCAGCTTCGCGCCCCAGGGTGTACCCCTAAACTGTCAACGTCAACATGATCAGTCCCCGAGATGGAAAATGACAAGTGGGCAGGAACTCACGGTCTCCCAGTGTTGGTGAGTTCTTTGCCGTTAATGTTCACGAAAAGTTCACTATGTTGCTATACAGAAATTCAAAACAAAATTTTTTATCTGCGAATTTGGACAGTTTTTGACCTGTTTCATACGACCGGAAGGTGTATGCTGGTCACAAATGACGTGGCAAACTGATTTCCTACGCAATTAATCAATCTTTGATGTGAATTTCGCTAACAAACACGAGGAGCATTTCTTATAGCAAACTCGCCATAACAAAATGGGCATGGTTCATTTAAGTAAACAAACTAACACTTCTTCCGACTGTGGCACCTCTCTTACTCGCCTGGGTCAGTCCCTTTCTTCATCGTTAAAAACCAACCAGCTTTGGAGTTATGGAACTAATTAAATAATCATTTTATGATATTAATGCCGCGGATACACATATATGACCTACTATGAGCATGAGCATTATTTGTATAATAATTATGAGCTGTATAGTGCAACTATACACAAACTATACAAGTGTGACCATAGATGTACTTGTACTACTCAGTAGTAGAAGTGTATCCACGACATCAGAATATGGCTGTTTCATCACTGTCTGATTTAAGAAGTTTACCAAATGCTCTTCATTGTGATAAGAATTAATAAATATGTAAACCCTGAACCCCTTACTGCAGACTATCTACGACTCTGATCTGATAGAAAATTAAACAAGGATAGCAAGGATAGTTGCAACAACCGCACGCAACATTCCACCTACCGTTGGTTCCGCGCTACATACATATGTAGTCGTCGGTGGTTGGAATCCTGTTACCATGGCAACCGATTGCAGTTGCGGACGCACAAACAAATGCCTCCCCCTTATGTTCGAGGTTCGAGGTAAACAAAACAGAATTTCACTTGCGAAGGTCAGTTTTAGCCAGTTTAAAAAAAAAACCCAATTCAAAATGAACGACGCACAGGACTTTCTCGATCCGGATAACATTACCCACTCCGAGTTTCGCGCAGAAATTAAGAACTGGATCGAAGAACAGGGCATCCACACAAACCTACAACTGCAGATGAAGAAGGATTTGATCGATCAAATCAGCCGGACTGCGATGGGTTCGTGTTGATTGATTTTAAATTTACAATTCAATACCAGATTGATCATCTTCTTTTTGAGTTTTTAGGTCGAAAAATCAGTCTGAAAATGCAAACCCACCAGGGCATTGTCCTCTCGCCACTGGTGCTGGTCCTAAACACCTTGGTCGCGGAATTCCTGTACACCCAAAACTGCCACTTCTCGTTGTCGGTGTTCAGCAGCGAAGTCCCGTTCAAGAACACGTTGCCCGATTTTACCAAATCCAAACACTTTCGGTTGAGTCGAATCGAACTGAAGGAGATCTTCGAAGCGCTTGGAGTCGACCACTATTCCGGGCTGGTGGAAAAGTACGAGGCCAAAACTACGAAGGAAGGAGGAAAGTCACTGCTCTACATAATTTTCAAGTCCATGCTGGCTTCGGTGAGGACGTATGAGGATAAATTCAAGCGTTTGAAAAATGAGGAAGCAGAGCGCGAAACGACCAAGACCATGCTGGATGGCTTGGCGATGGACAAATTGCACAAGAACATAGAGAAGTTGCTACAACGGATGAAGCTCGTTGAGAAGAGCATTGGGAGGGTCGAAGAACTGCATCGCGAGGATGGGCATCGCGGCAAAGAAGAGGAAACCAACTCGTTGAAAGTGTGCACAGAGAGCGTGTCTAGGATGGTTAGCCGGTTGGAAGTGTATTCGAAGACGCTTGAAGATCTGATCGTGAAGTTGCAGATTCAAGCTCAGACTGATAACGCGGTCGAGGAAGAGAAAGTACCAGAACAGGCGAAGCCTGTTCAGGTGGAGCAGAAAAGTTACACGGATTTCCTAAATGAGCTCAAGACAACCGAGCCCGGTAGGAAGTATGTTGCGAAGCTACAGAAGCAGGTGCTTAAGCTAATGGACAAGGAGAAGGCACTGATTGAGGCGAAGTACGAGAAGAAGTTACACGAAGCGGAATTGGAGTATAAATCCAAACTTGAAGGGGTGCTCTCCGAGAGGATTAGAGAGATGTCGGTCCCGAGGGAGATTCAACGGTCTCCGAAACTGACGAAACGAGAAAGCGAAAGCGAGGAAAGTGTTCACTTTATGAAGAAAATCGACGAGAAGTTGAATCAACTGTACCAGCACGAGCGTAATGTGGACGAGAAATTGGTAACACTGAAGAACGATCTGCAGAAGCACGAGATGAAACAAAGCAAGTACTTCCAATCACTGAAGACAGCTGAGACGAAGGAAAAGAAGCTACTGGTGTTGCAGGACGTGGAACGGCAACTGTTGGCAACGTTCGAGGATGAAACGCAGGCAATCATTCAGAATGCTAAGACGACGATCGAGCATTTGGAGAGCGAGAGTGACAAGATTAATCGATCGTTCCAGCAGTACTTGCAGAAACAGCGGGAGGACAAACGGAGGTTGAACGATGAAAAAGTGCAAATTTGGCAGAAGTATAACGACGAGAAGCTGGAGCTGAATCAACGTGAGTTGATGGGAATCAACGGGCATCGTTCGCAGGCGGTGGTGACGATGAAGCAGACTTATCAGCCGCATCACGAGGAAATACCAGAGATGGGAGACTTCGAGAACCCGTTCAAGAACTTTGATCCACACAAGTATCTCCGTCAACCGAAAGTCTGCAACATAGTCCTGGATAGTCCGCGGGAACACAATGTTGTCGACGTAGCCGTTAATACGACTGTTGAGCCTGCTAGTTTGAAGCCTTCCTTGACTGAAGCAAGGAAATCGGTAAGTCCTAACGTTCACCTTCTGGAAAGCGCCCGATTGGATCGGGAAACTTCAAAGCCCGTGGATCAAGAAATTGATCCTAAACCGAGCACCGTGGAGTCAACAGCGTCCCATAATCTTAATGTAAACCTTTTGGAGAAGGAACAAGCCGACTCGAAGCTCAGTGAGCTTCTCGCCAAAGATACGCTGAACTTAAAGCGAAGCATCGAGGAAAACCTGCAGAAGCTGGACCAGATGAGCAAAACATACACCAAATCGACGTCCTCCAGTGAACAGGAAAGGCAGCGCACGTACAACGTGAAGCCAACCGAGAAAAGTTTGGATGATTTGTCCAGCGGAGCGGAGCTGGGTATTTCCGATGGGGAATCGAGTGTGGGTAGTTTGGGAAAACGAGGCGATCGAGTGGATTTGAACAGTACGAAAGAGCTGTTAGAATACGCCAGGAAGAATTTTTCCATCGGTGAAACGAATGAAGGCCTGGAGGCGAAGAAAGATTCCCCAGAGCTGGGATCTTTGGGATCACTGAGCGATTTGGATGTTAGTGGGGACAGCAAATCAAACGCTGGGAAGGGCGTCGAGCTCGAGGATAGTGTTCATGATATACTGGAAGACATCTCTACCGGTAAGCGATCATTATCTGACAACAGTTGGAATTGAAATTAATGATTTTAAGTACTAAGGCTATCGGATACAATAAAACCTATCATATTGTGAATTAATTTGAAACAATTGTATCTTTAATGTACAGCAATCACTATGCAAATTTAACTCTAACTTACGAAAAACGAAGGAAATTAGGTATCGAGTTGTTCACCCATACGATGGATAGTTCTGAAGCGACCAATCTCAATAGCCCTTCCTTCCTCTGAAGCGCTGTCGATTGTCCAGCTATAGCAGCAATCAAGGATCAATAAATTTAATAATTCCCGGCAAAATAACATCTTCCCATTGTACTTACCATTGACCGCTTGCATTCGAAGAACGTATTCCGCAAGGCATGACACTCGGTCGGTACGGATCCATCTGTGCGGGCCAGACACTCGCGGGGAAGCTTGTGCTCCTGAAAAACATGTCAATCTATTCTATCAATCTGATTTAATTTAAACAGCAAATTTACCTTTTTGCAACAATCACTCTGCAGCAGACACATCTTCAAATCGGCTCGTACCCTGGCGCAGGCCGTTTCATCGGCCAGCTGCTGGTTTCCCTCGTAGCGCATCATCTTGCAAGCGGTTTGAATTTATGTGAATTAGCACACACTACCCTTCTACTTAGCGAGGAAATAAGCACAAAATATTTGTAATTTTATGGAAAATTCACGACTTTACGAGAGAAATGCACAGCCCCGGCACACAGAAATAGTTGCACAATTTGTTTTGATTTTTCGTTTCATCCGTCATTCACTCCCATGCAAGAGAACAGAACAGCTGATTGTGACAGTTCTCGACGTCAAAATCAGCAAATTCGCCGGGTACTTTGTTTACGGTTCTCGTTCTCGTCGCCAGTTTGTTTTCGTTCGTGTTGAATCAGTGTTTTCTGATGGAAAAATTGATAATTTGAAATTTCAATTGAATTTTGAGTAGCTGAAGCGAGACACATCACGGTAAGTAAACTAAAAGTGCCACGGTTCGATGAAGTATTTAAATAATATTCCTGTTGAAGGAAAATAGGTCAAAATTGGTTGTATTTAAATTTACTTCAGAGTGATATAGATGTTCCACAGAGATTCTGCCGGACAAACCCGGAGTCCGTAGTACAGTTGTAATCCGTTTTTAGCATGCTCTGATTTTGGCACATTTCACGTTTTACATCTAGCAGTAGACGTGACCGCAAAATTTGTCGATTCACTATCAAAAATTATTTAGGTATAATCGAGGGAATGTAGGAACGGCTTCTGCCCCCACCCGCCTCGAGTAGTTTACAGGTTTGGTAATACCTATAGCTACATGTATGAGTCAATTTTACATATAGCGCAGTGCTATCCATCGCAGATCGGATGTTTCTCCAGCCATCTTCAAGAGTAACTGCTACAAGCTGCTCTTCCGTTGTCAGTTCTACCACCGGTGGAAACTAACGATTTTTAATTGACTCACTACTTGACTAGCCTATTGGTTCCAAGCAAATCGGTTAACGTACCCGATTCTAGTCGAAATTCTAGTACTACAAGTTATATCTAGTACCTTCATTTCCTACAAAATTTCCGGAGACCACAGCCCTAACAGAAGTTAAAAGCTTTCTGGGGTTGAAAACGTTCATCGAAAAATTCATACATCACAGAGCAGACAAAACGAAATACTTGAGGGAACTGACGAAAGCAGAACAATTCTATTGGAACGACGATCTAGAAACGGAGTTCACGTAACTGAAGAACAAGGCATGGAAAGTATAGTCGCTATATTCATAGTCTGGCAGATAGAATCTCGGGAACCAATCGAGCAAATCACGACCAACAGCAGAAAAGAGCACTTCAGCTACCCTACAAACATTACATGTTGAATAAGAGCTTATTCAGGCAAAAATAAGCTTCTTCAGCTAAAAAATGGCTTATTCAGCTTTTGATCAACTCAAATTGTTTGTTGGGTATTGCGAACAAAACTTCGGAAACCCTTTTCTCGTGACTTACCCGCATAAACGCGAACCATAAATTGACCTTACCTAAAATGGTTAAAAATTGTTTATAATCCCTGCTAAACTTTAACTGAAATGGTTATGGAACTTTACATGAACCTTTAATGATAAAGTTTCAACCTTATGTATTATGGTTTTTTGGAACTGGACCTTACAAATAATGGGTTGTTAAGAACCATTACCGTTCCAAATTCTTGTTTTCTCCATACATTTTCGGAAAGAGAACTATATTAGGACCTTTTAACTTATGGTTTGAGAACTTTAATGGTAATGGTTATGGTAGTCAGTAAGGTCCACGAATGATTTTGTAACATCGATCAACTTTATGTGGAATATATCGCGAATTGGTTGACTGTAATTTACTGATTACCAATTCACGATATATTCCACGTAAAGTTGAGCGATACTCGTTAGCTGTCCAGAGCGACAATGGTCCGCCATTTCAGAGTGGAAGGTTTATCAAGACATGAAAGGAAAAAGGTGTTAAGATATGGAAATCAATTCCTTTGAGCGCCCAGTCTAATGGTACTGTCGAAAGACAGAATAAAGGGGTAAAAGACGCATTGGCTGCAGCAAGAATCGAGAAAGTTATCTGGAGATCGGCGTTGGACAGATACGTTCATATGCACAACAAGGTCAGACCATTGTCCCGACTGGGAGTTACCCCTTTCAAGTTATTAGTCGGATGGAAATACCGATGTACGTTCCCACATCTCTGGGAGACTCGTGAAATACTAGATCGCAATGATATACGAGAAAAAGATGCTCTTTCTAAGCTAGAAAGTAAACAGTATGCTGGCAATAAAAAAGGAGCAAAAGCATCCAACATTGTGGTTGATGATACCATAGAGGTAACTCTAAGACCAGAAGGTCCCGAAGAAACGAGCTCAACTTTTTGGCTCAGCTCTGGTACTATCTATATACTATACTATACTACTGGTACTTCATCTTATACACCGCTATCCATATAATATTGTGCCACTTCCTCCATTGTATTTCACATCCTTACTACCAAATGCTACTTTCGAACCTTCATTGTGGTATGTTAGATACGATAGCTCCGGATCGGACCATGCTAATGCCGTTGCCATCATATCTGATAAATTTGACTCGGGAGACATTTTTCTAGCAAGGTTTGGCCTGCCAAATTTATGGCGCTTGTGCATTCGCTCTCCAGCCTGCTCATCCACAAAATTCATAGTGCATGGCTAAAAAATAATAAATGATTAGTTTGATTTTTACAGCTTAGGTAGTTTACTTTACCAATTGATCGATATAATCTGCTAAATGTTTGTATTTGTGCAAAGAAGGTCGTAATGCTTTAATGAGCGTTAATGAGAGTTCCCCTCCAAAATACTTCTTTTTTTCCAATCGTTCGTACAGCAACTTCACCTTTTCAGCATTCAGTTTCCGTGACGAAAGCGCCAAATTGCTGATCAGTCTCAAATTTTGCATCATATTCCTACTAACATTCAAAATATCGGCAAATATGTCAGGCTCTGAAAGCAAACGGACGGGCAAGGTTGCCGTTATTGGAACTACCATTTTCTCCTGTTTTGGACAGTTAACCTGTACTTTGAAATGTTGTTCAAGGCAGTCTGCAATTCGTCTGGCTTCCAACTTCACTTCCGGGTGAGTGAGGGCAGGATGTCCTGGTACTGATTTTTTGGCTGCTGAGCGGATGGCCAACTTTATCGGTCAATCCAGATTATCCGGAGAACCAGAATACCACTATACCCCAAAATATAGTTTCCATATTAAATACGCTTTGATCTCTTGACTCTGAACAACAGAAAAAATCACAAGTTTCTAGGACATTTTTTATGATGTGGCCCAGGCTTGCTTCTACTCACTTGCCATAAAAAAAAATCTGAATTTGTAAATCATTAGATGTTATAATGATATTATGTCATTGTCAGACACAAGAAGAGGCTGAAAGGTAAGTATTTGACACATAAAACCAGTCAAATTCGCTTTCAGATAGCCACAATCAGCGATTTTACGACTCGCGAGCGCTCACTCTGAGTGAACGCTCACGAATAATAAAATTGCCGATTGTAACACTCTGGAATCGAAATTGACAGGTAGTATGTGTCAAACACTTGCCTTGCAACCTCTTCCTGTTTCTAACGAGGACAAAATATCATTATAACATGTAATGACTTAAAAATTCAGAAAATCAACTTTTTATAGCAAGTGAGTGGAAGCAACCCTGGATGTGGTCACTTGTTGCAGACGACCTCAGCAGGTATGAAAGCTTTGGTCAAACCAGCCAGCGCACAATTATTCTCCTGCCATTTTCCTTCCTTGACTCCTGAACTCCCGCACCCGCGTCTCCTAAATCTCACTAGCTTCTTCTTTCATCTCTTTTTCCACCCTTTTCTTTCATTTACTCACGATCTTCTCGTACATTCGTCTTGCTGGTTAGCCTCTGCACCCGAGCCTTCGTTTGGTCCGTATATCGTGGATGCTTCCACCGATGCGGACGCCTTACCCTGGCCAGGCGATAAACTGATCCACGCCGTATGTGATCCACCGCTTAATTTGAGGCTGTAAAAACAAAAGCCTCCTGTGTCGAAGGCTCTTGTTTGGCTCTTATGGCTCTCTCAATTCGCGGCGTGTGGGAGCTGATGCGCCTTATTTGGCCTCCGTCTCACCCGGATCGTGCTCGTTCTCGTTCGTCCGACTGATGGATTTGATGTTTTGCGGGGACTGATATTCGGATGTAATTCTTTTTTTTGCGTCGTGGGAAGCTTTCTGCTCTGCGACGTGGGAAGATGGCATCGCAGAATGTGCGGAATATCGTTACTCGGTAGTTTCCTTGACGAGGATGGGCCCACACCATCCTCGCTACGGTGCTTCCGTCATTCCGGCAAAATTATGCACCTCACGCGTTGAAAGCACTCTTCGTTGCACTGGTGGACTCTGTTTCTATACCGGTGTGTGATGGCGACAGTCGTGTGAGTGTGTTTTATTGTCACTTTGGCGGAAGCAAGGATTGTCATGTCTCACTTCAGCGGTGACGTTTGCCCAAGTGGCGTATCTTCTTTTTTCGTGCACACGTTTAAACGATTGTCCTCAAAGCTCATATATTTAACTAACTTCCATACATAACGCACTTTATCCATAGAGGTAACTCTAAGACCAGAAGGTTCCGAAGAAACGAGCTCAACTTTTTGGCTCAGCTCTGGTACTATCTTCGGTCCCAAGCTAATCGATTCACCCCTCGAAACTTAGGAGAATCCACAAGCCCCTCATTTTATCTGTCAAACTTTCATAGCGAATCAAAACAAAAATAGTGTAGTACTGGAATTTACACTAGAATGAGGTACGTTAGTCGATTTGCTTGGGACCAATAGGCTAGTCAAGTAGTGAGCCAATTTGAAACCGTCAGTTTCGTATTGATTGTTGCTTTATCGATCGTTCCGGATCCTCCTTTAGGCCAGTAGAGTTTCCCTGAGGGCGTATATGGTGTCTTTACACCATATATACTTACATACATACCAATCAGGCTAAGGCCTTGTTGTCCTCTGCTGTCCGAAGAAGTCGTCTCCACTCTACTCGATCCATGGCCACAGTTCGCCAGCCTCGTAGTCTGCGAAGGGTCCGCAGGTCACCTTCTACTTGGTCGATCCACCTTGCCCGCTGCGCGCCTCTTCTTCTTGTTCCTGTTGGGTCGCTTTCTAGAACCATTTTCACTGGGTCGTCGTGCGGCATTCTTACGACGTGCCCAGCCCACCGTAGTCGCCCAATTTTTGCAATGTGGACGATGGATGGTTCTCCCAGCAGCTGGTGCAATTCGTGGTTCATTCGCCTCCTCCACGTTCCGTCATCTATCTGCACTCCACCGCAGATGGTACGCAACACCTTCCGTTCGAAAACACCAAGGGCACGTTGGTCCTCCACGAGCATAGTCCAGGTCTCGTGGCCGTAAAGGACCACCGGTCTAATCAGCGTCTTGTAGACAGTCAACTTCGTGCGGCGGCGAATTTTATTCGACCGGAGCGTCCTCCGGAGTCCAAAGTAGGCCCGATTCCCTGCCATAATGCGTCTTTGAATTTCTCTGCTGGTATCATTTTCGGCGGTCACCAGTGAGCCCAAATACACGAACTCATCGACCACCTCGATTTCGTCACCGTCAATCTGAACTCGGGGTGGGAGGCTAACATTGTCTTCCCTAGAACCTCTTGCTTTCATGTATTTTGTCTTTGATGCGTTGATGGCAAGTCCAATCCGTCTAGCTTCAGCCTTCAGTCTGATGTACGTTTCCGCCATCATCTCAAAGTTCCGTGCCATAATGTCAATGTCATCGGCGAAACCAAGGAGCTGGATGGACTTCCTGAATATCGTGCCACTCGTGTCTATCCCAGCTCTTCTGATCACACCTTCTAACGCGATGTTGAACAGCAGACACGAAAGTCCATCACCCTGCCGTAACCCCCTTCGAGATTCAAAGGGACTCGATAGTGTCCCGAATACTCGAACAACGCACATCACTCGATCCATCGTCGCCTTGACCAATAGCGTCAGTTTATCCGGAAATCCGTACTCGTGCATAATCTGCCATAGCTGATCTCGATCGATTGTGTCGTATGCGGATTTGAAATCGATGAACAAATGATGTGTGGGCACGTTGTAGTCGCGGCATTTCTGCAGAACCTGCCGAATCGCGAAAATTTGGTCCGTGGTAGCGCGGGCACCCATGAATCCCGCCTGGTATTGCCGCACGAACTCTCTTGCATATGGTGACAGATGGCGGCATAGAATTTGGGAGAGTACCTTGTAGGCGGCGCTCAGCAGTGTGATCGCGCGGTAGTTGCAGCAATCCAACTTGTCGCCCTTTTTGTAGATTGGGCATACGACACCTTCCATCCACTCCTCCGGTAATATCTCCTCCTCCCAAATCTTGGCAATTACCCAGTGCAGCGTTCTAGCCAGTGCTTCACCACCGTATTTCAATAGCTCACTTGGTAGTTGATCTACACCAGTTGCTTTGTTGTTCTTCAGCCGACCGATCTCCTCCTAGACTTCTTGAAGATCAGGGGCCGGTAGCCTGTCGTCTTCTGCGCGTGCTCCAAGGTCTGTTGCCGTGCCGCCTTCGTTTTCTGCTGCTCCACCGTTGAGGTGCTCGTCATAGTACTGCTTCCATCTCTCAATCACCTCACACTCGTTCGTGAGAAGGTTACCGTCCAAGTCCTTGCACATATCGGCTTGCGGCACGTAACCTTTGCGCGAACTATTTAGCTTCTCGTAGAACTTCCGTGTGTCGTTTACGTGGTACAGATTTTCCATCGCCTCACGATCTCGGTCTTCCTGCTGACGCTTCTTCCTTCGGAGAACCGAGTTTTGTCTGTTCCGCGCTTGTCTGTATCGCTCCACATTCAATCTCGTGCGGTGTTGCAGCATTCTCGCCCGTGCTGCATTCTTCTCCTCTACTAACAGTTTGCATTCGCCGTCAAACCAGTCATTTCTTCGGTCCGGGATTGCAGTACCTAGTGCCGCTGCAGCAGTACTACCTATGGCTGAACGGATGACCCTCCAGCCATCTTCAAGAGAAGCTGCGCCAAGCTGCTCTTCCGTGGGTAGTGCAACTTCCAGCTGCTGCACGTAGTCCTGGGCAACTCCGGTGTCCCGTAGTTGCTCAATGTTGGGTCGTGGCGTTCGACTTCGACGTGTGTTATGCACCGTCGAGAGTTTTGAGCGCATGCATACTGCAACTAGGTAGTGGTCCGAATCTATGTTCGCACTGCGGTACGTGCGGATGTTGATAATGTCGGAGAAGAATTTCCCGTCGATTAGAACGTGATCGATTTGGTTTTCTGTGTGTTGGTCAGGTGATCTCCAGGTGGCTTTGTGGATATCCTTGCGGGAGAAAAAGGTACTTCGAACTACCATACCCCGGGAGGCTGCAAAGTTCACGCATCGTTGGCCGTTGTCGTTCGATACGGCATGCAGGCTGTTTGGCCCGATTGCCGGTCTATACATTGCCTCCCGTCCTACCATATATACTTAGTACTATCAATTTACAGTAATACACGTTAAGTAAAGTGTAAAATTATGTCGATAGATAGTCGACAGAGATAGAGTGGCAGGTTGATCCCGGCCTTCTATTTCGGTACGCAAAAGTCTCTTGTAGTCAATAAGACTACCACCAATCGATTCAGCAGAATTTTTCCTTTGAGAATATGTATAAAATATTGACTGAAACCGTTTGGCAGCCGAGATATTCAATTTAGTCGCGGTTTTGTAATTTTTTGCCCAGTGTGCAATGGCAGGTTGAGTCAGCGTTGCCAGATATACCGATTTATCGGTATTTATACCGATTTTCAAATTTGATACCGATATACAGATAAAGTTTCTCAGAATACCGATTTTTGCGATTTAATACCGATTTCTACCGATTTTTTATTAATAATCAAAATGATTACTGTCTGCGCGCACTGAATTGTCAGAGGAAACTATTGTTAGAGACTTTTATCTTCTTGAAAATTAAAATGTTTTGAGCCTGCTTGAAAAATGTCTTATGTTTGATACTCTTTCGTCTAATGCTTACATTTCCTCGCGTTTTTGGTTACCAAGGAGTCGAGAAACAGCTGATGGTTTATCCCAATAATTTCTAGAAATCGGGAAATACTTTTATTCAGTGAAAAAATAGGCCCATAGAAACGTTAATTTTTGAACATCCTGAAATCTCTTTAATCATCCCTTTGAAGTTTCTTCCAACTTTCCCTAGGAATTTTCGTTTACCTTACCCTGCCTTGTAAGCTTTTTTCCCGATTCCTTCCGGAAAGCTATTTCGACTTTCCTTTGAAGCTTCTTCTGGTTTCGCTCGAAAGGTTCTTCCGTCAGCTCCCGTCAGATTTTTTCAACTTCCTCGAGACATCAGAAATGCTTTCAGAGTTTCATTGCGGTTCCATTAGTTTCCGGAAAACTTCAGGAACTTTTCAGAAGTTCTGAAACTTCAGAATAGTTCGAACTTTTGGGTAGGTTCCGATATATTATAGACAGTTTCATTAACTTCTGTTCAAATCCGAGAACCCAGAACCCGCCCAGAGAACTCCAATGAACTTAAGTAAACTGAAATATTTTGGAAACTTCATAAGCCCAAAGAACTACAAAGAAATTTAATGATTTTCAGGATAGTTCCATTTGTTTCAGGAGAATTGAGATAACTTTAGAGAAGCTTTGAGAACATTAGGACACATAAATTCAAGGAAATTCCTGTACCTTTCAATGAGTTCCGGGAAACTCTGGCAATTTAAAAAAACTTCTGTAAAGTTCCGAGAGGTTCATGAAAATTTTGGAAATGTGAGGGAAGTTACATAAACATTAGAAAATTGTGAAAGCATTTAAGGGAAGCTCTGTGTTTTTTATCGGCAGTTTCGAGAACTTTAAAAAAAAAAACAAAAAAAAATCGGGAAGTTCAGAGAGCCCAGGAATCCATCTTCTCCTTGAAGTATCTTTCGACTGTTCCGTAAGCCTTCTGGCGTCCGACTTTTTCCAGAAGTTTCTTCCAATCTACCGTAGGAAGTTTGTCCCAGTGTCTCCTGGAAGTTTCTTCCGTCGTATCTATCGCGTTCCCCCAGAAGTTTCTTTCGTCTTCCTCTGGAAGTTTCTCCATAAGTCACTCTCCGTAGGTTTTTCCCGACTTATTGTAAGGTTTTTCCGAGCTTCTCCTAACTTCCCTTGGACATGCCTCCTCCGGCATTGGCTTCCGATTTCTAAACTTTTCTGGCTTCTGAATTTTTCCGAAAGTTTCTAAAAAGTTTTGCCAGAAGATTCTCAATATTTGTCTTGGAAGATCCTCATCGGATGTTTTTTCGACATCTTTTAGAACTTCCTTCAAACTTCCTCCACGAGATCTTTTTCATCCTTCCTCTAGAAGTTTGGTCGGTACCATTAAGAGACTAATTAAAATATTTCCCAGAAATTTCTTCCGACTTACATGGAAAGTACATTCTTCGATTTTAGTCCTAAAGTATGAAAAAAATTAAAATTAATTAAAATACTGAATACCGATGAATACCGATTTTTTAATTATTTGATACCGATAATCATGAAAACAATCTGGCAATGCTGGGTTGAGTACAATTAGAGGTTATTAAACTTGATCAAGTCGAACAGTGAGGATAGTCCACAGTATACCGGCAGTTGTCTTGCTACAAGTGAGTGGTAGTTCCATATCATCATCATCATCATCATCAACAGTTGCCGGCGCCGGTGGTGTAGTGGTAAGCGTGACTGCTTTCTCACCCCAATGGGTCTGGGTTCAATCCCAGCCGAGGACGGTGGGATTTTTCTGAGGCATAAAAATCTCTGGTCACGTCTTCCTTCGGAAGGGAAGTAAAACCATTGGTCCCGGCCCAATGGGTGCGATATCCTACGCAGGTGTGGAGGCTGCCTTCCTGTACATTCGATTGCCGTCCATGGATGGCAATCGATGTCCGTCGGTGATTGGCACTAGATTGCGGTCTCTGTTCCGACGTTAAATACAGGAAAGAAGATCATAAACAGTCTTCCGAATTCTGATGCCACTTGCAGTTACTTGTAACCTTGTAACGAATGTTTTCCACGAAGCTTAAGTTGGTACAGATTCGTATAACAAGCTCCAAAGAACCTCCGCTGTAATGACTTCCGAATTTACTTTGCTTTCCTGGAAGCGTTTCACTCTTCGCGTGCAAATAGGTGCACTGGTAACATTGTAATATGCAGTGCTGCCAAGAACTATGAAGGATAATGAATGTAAATTATATTCCAACAGCTTCTTGGTAAAGGCCGTTCTCGCTACTACTGGCAGAAACAACTGCTGTGAAAATCAAAATCATATATTTTTCCCTTCAAGGAAACGGTTTTTGGGAGAAATATATACAATCGCACTACAAAACCACTCACCTGATTAACCTGAGCTCACTGCAACTTCTCTACCCATTCCAGGCCATGATCACCCACCTGCGCCACGTGAGGCGCTTCTGCAGCAAATCTTCCTCCCTGGACCCGGGCATCCGAATCTACTCCTGTCGAACTCGGGAAAAGGTCCCCCTGCAACTGCCATCTGCCTGCTGGGTCACATCCTTCTACACCTGCGGTCCAACGGTGTACGATTCGGCTCACATCGGTCACGCCAGCTGCTACGTCCGGTTGGACATCGTCCAACGCATTTTAAAAGACCACTTTCGGATGAACCTTGTGACCGCCATGAACATTACCGACATCGACGATAAAATCATCAAGCGAGCCAACGAATCCGGTCAACCCTGGATGGATGTTGCCCGCCATTACGAGCAGGAATTCTGGAGCGATCTGAAACGACTGAACGTTCGATCTCCGGATGTAAAACTACGAGTTACGGATCACATTCCCGCCATCACTGCATTCATACAAAGACTGCTATCCAGTGGCTTTGCGTACAAGTCTTCGGACGGCTCCGTCTACTTTGAAACTACCAAGTACCCCCAATACGGCAAGCTCCAGAACATCCCCATGGATCAGGAATCTCCAGCAGAAGGTAAAAAGAATGCCGCTGATTTCGCCCTCTGGAAGGCAGTAAAACCGGGCGAACCATCGTGGGAGTCAAGCTTCGGCCCCGGTAGACCGGGATGGCACATCGAGTGTTCGACACTGGCATCGCAGATCTTCGGCCGCCAGCTTGATTTCCACGCTGGAGGTCTGGATCTGCGGTTTCCTCACCACGAAAACGAAGAAGCGCAGAGCTGTTGCTACCACCAGGTCCAAGACTGGGTGCGATACTGGATCCATACCGGGCAGTTGCATCTGGAAGGTCAAACGCACAAGATGTCCAAATCGTTGAAGAATACAGTCAGCATCGGTGAGTTGATGGAAAAGTTTTCCGCGGATGAGTTCCGGATGCTTTGTCTGCTGTCGCACTATCGAAGTGCGATAGAATTTGGCGACGAGTCCACGACGGTGGCGACTAACGTTTTGAAAAAGTTCCGTTCGTTTTTCGATGACTCCAGAGCGTACGTCGGAGGGGTGAAGCCGGTGGCTTGTATCGATGCGAGCTTGATACGGGCAAAGGTTCAGGAAGTTGATGGGAAAATTGAAGGATTTCTCCGGAACGACTTCAACACTGCCAGTGTCGTGACAAGTTTGGGCGATCTGGCGTCGGTTGTGAACAAATCAATCAACCAAAGATCTACCGGGTCGATCGAGGCATCGGAAAGTGGAACCGTTCAGGCGGCGAGCAACTACATTCGTAGCAAACTGGCGCTGTTTGGATTGCAGGAATTTGCCGATGAGGGAGTTGCGAGAGCGGACGCGTCTGACGATGGCTCGACTGAGGAGGGGGTTATCGATGGTATGGTTCAAATTAGAACATCCATTCGGAAGCAGGCGATGGAGAGTAAGGATCGCCGACTGTTTGCCGTGTGTGATCAGATTCGGGATCGGCTGAAGGAGTTGAATGTGGAGGTTAAGGACCATGGGAAGACTTCCTCGTGGAACTATGTTAAGCGATGATTTTAGGTCACTGTGCGAAAGTTAGAGAAATGCATTTGAAAAGTTACCGAGTTGGAGGCTTGTTATTGACGTAGATGTATCACAATCCAATGCGATTTTTTTAATATAACGCGGTCGGGTACTTTCGGTGGTAGAACGTACACTCGCACTTATTGAACGTTGCCTCCTGTAAGCCATGCATAGCTCCACTACCTTTCCATAAGTACCTTATAATGGGAAATTGAATCTTCCGAGTCTCCTGCGAAATCCTATAAGTTAGTTGCACCAAAACAGCATTTCCAGCTAGTGCGTATTCTTCGCGTCACCAAAGTTTTGCTCTGCACTGTGAATGCAAATCTTGAAAAGGATTTCTCTAGTTTTCTACCGCACACCAGCGTGTTACTCAATCAATGGTTATTTTATTTATGAGAATGAATTGCAAATTCTATGCAAGAATTAAGTAATGGAGAGCACGTTCGGAACGATAAGTCTACCTTTGAGAGTTCTACTATACTTACTTATACTACTCACGATTACTTGAGTTTATCTTCGATATCTTTCAAACGACATTTGACCTCCGGTGCAGCGTCCTTCTGCAGCAGTGCCGTAATCTGCTCGAAGGTCTGCCGAACCATCGCAAGTTCCGTCCCATTGGCCGGTTCCTTTGCCTTGAGCTTGTTGATCAGAATCAGCATGATGTTCAGGGCTTCCTTCTTCAGTCCAGTGTGCGGGATTCCTGTTCAAATTCAAAACAAACTCCTCATCAAAGCTGTCAACGTATAAACGAGTCCTAAAATTACCTGCCACATCCACGATCGCCGACAGCACAGTCTTACAGATGTTCTCCAAAATCTCGCCACCATCCTCGTCGACCTTGGCCTTCTTCTCCTTGTTTTCCTCCACCACCTGAACATCGCCCTGCTTCCTCAGCAGATGTAACCTCTCCAGGAACCGTCCCAACGCTTGCAGCAAGCAAATCTGCACCTGCCGGGTGTTTAGCTTCAAACACTGCACGCATTTCTCCACAAACATCACCTGATAGCGCTTCTGGGTCTCGATCGAGTGCTCTGGCCAGGCCTTGCCCAGCGTTTCGCAGACCGTCTCCTTCAAATTGACAAAGATCATCATCTGTTTGTTCTTTTCATCGGACGAAACGACCTCCTTGTCGTCCTTGTCGCCATCGGAGAGGTCCTGCTTGTCGAGCAAATGCCAAACCATGTTGTACACCTCTTCGAAGCGATCCTCCTTCAACTCGTCCAGGATATTTCCCAGCGATTTCAGGGTATGCATCCGGTAGACCGGTTCTTCCTTGCGGCACTCCTTCATGACGGCATCAATGATCTGAACGTAGTGGTTTGTGTCTTTCTTCAGGTTCTTGCACAAGCTAGCCAAGGCTTGCAGCAGCTTCTCCTTGCCCTGGAAGGTTCTCCCGGACACGTTGGCCAGAATCAGGTCGATCAACTTCAGTCGCACCGAATCGTCCAGGTTGGTATTGAGCTTCGTAGCCAGCGTGTTGATGGCATTTCCAGCCTGAGCTTTCAGCAACCACGAGGGATCGTTCAGTCTGCTTTCCAAGATCTGCAGGATCGCATCCAGATTCATCCTCAAACCGGCATCTCCGGTGTTGATATCGTGCCACAATTCCTGCCACAACTCGATCGTGGATTTGTTGTCTTCGGTGACCTCCTCGTGCATGGCAAAGAACATCAACGGCAAGATGTTCGATGAGTAGTCCTTCAAGACCTCCTGGTGGCGCTTGTTGATCGCTTGGATCGTCAGCGGTACCGCTCGGTTGGATTGCTGCTCAAAGTACAATTCTTGCAACTTCGCGAACAATCGAACGATCGACTGTTCTTTAGCCGTACCGATGAGGTGTCCAATCGCCGAGGCGAAATACTTCCGGACCGTTGCATTCCGATCGGATAGTCCCGTGAAACACGATCCCAAATACTTTCCGGTCAGTGGCTGCATTTGCGAACCCATCTGGATGCTTATCAAGCACACAAAGTGCGCACCGGCAACCTTCGTTCCCAAATTGACACCAGTCCTCATGACATCTAGCACCGCCGGAGTCATCTTCTCCAAAGTAGCATAGTCGATGTGACGAATGCACTTGGACAACGTCTCCATGGTGTAGTGCTGCTTGGCAGCTTCCGCCCTCATAGAATCTACCACCTCTTGAGTTCCCGACTGGCCGGCCATCATCGTCGACAGATAGGACAATTTTGCAGAATCTAACTCTCCTGTAGCTTGCAACAAGCACGGTACCAAGCTGTTCAAATGCGGCAAAATCAACGACCCAGCCGAATCGATCAAATCCGACAGGGTCTTGATGCTCAGCTTCCTAATCTCCGCCACCGTATTTGTAACTCCAGTCTCCAAAAACATCGGAATTATCGAACTGGCCACGTTCAGTCCCGACTTGCTGTGATCACTTGACGCCGCAACAACGCACACCTTACTCAACGCGCTAGCCGTTCCCTCAGCCGCCATGCGAGTCCCCTCGTGGATGTCATCCATCACCCTGAACAGCTGACTCCACAAGAAGGCCAGTTCCGGTTCCGGAACGGTCTTATCATCCACATCCATCTTCTCATCGCCACCGTCGATCTTCTTTAAATCATCCGAACGCAGCTTCAATCCGGCATTGCGCTTGATCAGATCCCGAACCGCTAGGCAGCAAGCGATACGGGTCCGCCACTCCGACGAAGTCAAGTTCTTGCTAACGTCGTCCAAAATATCCCAATAGTACGCCTCCACCGTGGCCTTGGAATCGCTGACCACCGAGTCCCAGATGCTGATCATCGAGTTCTGGATCTTCGGCGTCGGGTCGTACTTGTAGCGGAACAGCCGCGGGACGATCTTGCCCAGGTAGGGTTCCATCTTGAGTTTGGCCGTCTTGGAGATCGACTGCAGCCCGAAGGCGGCACCCAGCTTGCTGTTCCAGGTGGCGTTGTGATTGGCCAGCTGCATGAACTGGTAGATCATCTCCGGTTGGTTCAGATCCGATGCCAGACTGCAGAGTTCCTTGTAGGTCGTTAGGTTACCACTGTCCGGGGGGGAAGGGAGAGAAAGTTAGTGAGAGAGGTGTTGAGGTTATGTGGTTTGGGTGAATTTGAGGAATATTGAGAAATCTTGAGAAATTTTTAAAACATAGCCTATCATAACTTGGAGCTTTGCAAAGTACCGTGGATGAACTTTGAGTGGAGATTCTGATGACTTCTTACATAACCTTGCAAGTCTTGCGGGAACGGAGCACAAGTTCTACGGAACAAATATGGAGAACTTCAAGCAATGATCTTCCGACGCTGGTTGGGGAATGATGTAGAGAATTCGAGGCCACTGACTAACCCAGGCTCAAATCAAATTAAACATGTCAACTCACCCGGAGGGAGCCTTTCCCAGGACACCTTCCTCGAACAGCTTCGTATCTTCGGCCACCTTCTGCACCTGCCTTCGACCGCCCACCAGTTGATCCAGCAGCAGATTGGACAGCTCCTCCTGGCCGTCGTTGGTCGAAAGCGAAAACACAATTCCCAAACCCCGGGACGCCACATCCTGGACCAGTTCTGTATGAAACACCCCGATTAAAAATCATCTCTCAATTGTCAAACCAAAATAATGCAAGATTTACCGTTATCCTCCGACAGCAAATCCGTCAGCGCCAGCTGCAAAACCTGCCGATTGTCTTCGATCGGCGACCGCTTGGAGCAGTTCTTCACAATTGCCAGCAGCCAAATGGCGCACGCCTGCTTCAGGTAAGCATGCGGTTCGTTCACCTTCCGGACCAGCTCGATCAGGAACCAGGTCAACGTTTCGTCACTTACGTTCCCCTGGGAATCCTGATCCGCCTGTCGGTCCCCGCTGGACAGACCTTGCAAGGTGTAAACCAATGCCTGCCCCATGGCGATGTGCAACGCCGGATCCTTGGTCATCTTGAGCAACCCGAGGAAACCTTCCAGCAGTCGTTTGGCGAAGAATTCCACATCGCCTACGGCCAGATAACCCAGGCAGTGGGCAACGTCCTCGCGGATTTTAGCCTTGGTATGACCGCTCTGGAGCAGGGTCATGAGTGCCTTGAAGAGCGACGTTTTGGTGGGGCAGTCCGAGTCGGTTTCCATTTTGTTTGCTGTGGCTTCCGCAGGGAGAGGGAGTGGAGAGGTGGAGCCAATCAGGCTGAGACTTTTTATGGAGGCAGATTGGAGGAGGGATTGTTGGTCGTTGAGCAGGGAGATCAGAAGGGAGACGAGGTCTTTGTAGACTTGCCAGTGCTGGAGTTCCGGAGTGAGGAGGAGTTTTCGGTGGATGGCGTTCGCTGCGGCCAGGATCGAGCCGTGGCGGTTTTCGAGGGATTTGTTGGCGAGCGCGAGAAGGTCCTTAATTTGGGATTCGAGTTCCGATTCGTCACTGTTGTAGGCCAGCAGGATTCCGTAGACCTTGGCTATTAGGACTCGCGTGGGTTCGGAAATTTCCTTGAGTGATAAGCCGAGGGTGTTCAGGAGGTCTTTGTTCTCCTTGGCTAGCACTTCCGGAACGCCGTTGACCAGATCGTAGAGGCATGTCAGTTCGGTGATTCCCTTCCGGACGATGATCAGCCTTCGGATGAGGTCGTTGTACTTGTGAATGACCGCTTCGTTACTGGATTCGGCGACAAAGTGCTTGAGGAAGCCTGTCAGCTTGATCATTTCCTTGTCGTCATTGGGATGGGTATTGACCCCGGCGTTGAATAACAAACAGATCCTCAGATAGTCCAGCACTTCGATGTAGGTACCGAAGTTGTACGGAAGCTTGATCTTTCCGTAGCCAGGACGATCCATGATAGTGGCAATCTTTCGCTCAGATTTCAACGCAACGTATTCGACCATATCGCGGAAACAGGGCAGAACGATCTTTCTGGGTTCGTTGGTAGCGGAAAATGGATTCTTTGCCTCGCTTACCGAGGAATCTTCTTCATAGTCTTCAACAGAGATGATCGAGCCGTAGTTGATGTGGTCCTTCTTGGAAACCCCGTACAAATAGGTCGTCATCATTTCGCGCAGCTGGGCACTCTCGCCACAAATGATCAGCAGCAGATACCTCGAGGGAACGTAATAGTCCGGGAAGCAGGTTGTCAAAAACACCGATGCTACGTTCTGCACGATCGTCAATTTAGATTCTGCCTTCTCGCCCAGCAGCCCCAGTAGGAGAATCTGATTCGAGTTCGGAACGAACCTACCGTTGGCCGTCATGACGTGATCCTTGCCGTCTTTGGGCAGTTCAGCTTCAACGGGAACGCCTTTGGGCTGCTTCCGCCAATCTAACGCTTGAGCCAGAGCCACGAGGGCTTCGCGAATCGAAGAATGCAACTCCGCGGGAGATTGCGAAAGATGGTCAAAGTAGGAAGCCACCAGCTGAACATCCTGATTGACCGTCGTCGGGCAGACGATCGCTAGCTGAGCCATGGCATTGTAGGCAGCATTCTGAACTTCGCTTACCTCTTCCGATGATGTACCGATGAGCTTGGAGATTCCCGTTAGCAGCACTTTGGACAACTTGTTGATCAGTTCCGGTTGACCACTGAAAAAAAATGTTTGCGCTCATTCGCGTGAAATGTACAAAATAGACAACCACTCACTTGGTGATCAACTTTTCCGCAAACTGCAAGGCAAGAACCTTGCACTTCTGGTTGGTATTCTCCCCAAAAAGTGCCTCAAAGATGACCTGGATGCCCTTCGCCGTAATTATGCCATTTCCTCGGCACTTGAGCAAATGCTGAAACAGCTTCTGCCGGACCCGGGTGCTCACGGGACTAGTTTTGCGATCCGGAATCTTCGAACCATTTCCCGAGAACAAAGTATAAAGCGGAGCCGATAGTTTTGGATCCGTCCAATCAAGCGATCTGCAAAACAAATTGAACATTAAATTATAAATCTAAGCTTTCAATTGCAATCCATTTAAAACTAACGAGCAAATCTTATTCAACTCGACGATCGCCGGCGTTGCCACCGAGAACCGCGTATCCGCCGATGCCACAATCAAATGGGCCAACATTTCCGTTTCGGGGAAAATCCCCGCACAGAGAAATCTCACTATTCCCTTCTTCAGCTGTTCCAACTCTTCCGCCTTCAGTTGCTCGGTCGTAACCCGCTTGAAAGAGTAGCTACTCATCCCCGGTGGTACTTCGCCATCCTGGGTTGTTCCGTACGGCAGCAGCAGGACATCCATCAAAATCGACAGCAGCTGCTGTTTGGTGTGCGGCTTTCCAGACAGTCCCAACAATTCCGAACGATTTTCCGGATTTTCCGGTATTTTGATCTCACCCAAAAGGGGAAGAACCAGCATCAAGATCCTGCAAGATACCAGATTCCAATCAAATCGACGTCAAAAAGCCCCAATCGATCAAAACCGTACTTATCCTGATGCGGCTGCGGTTTCCCTTCCAAGCAGTTCATTAGCTGGGGAGCCAACTCGGTCTGTTCCTCCACCGTCAAGCGAGGGAAACCCATCGTGACGTAGATGATTGCAAAATTCTAAAAAGAAAACCTAAAATCAACCACCCAAATCCAGGCATAAAGCAAAAACCTCACAATCAAAAACGTCGAACTGGACTGCTGGTACTGCTGCAGCAAGGGCCCCAGCGGCAGCTGGATCTGATTCCTCGACTTCAATCGCTTGTTGATGTGCGTTAGGATTTCCATCACCTTCTTGCGGACCGCTTCCGAGGGGGAGGTGATCTTGATCAGCACCGGCGTCAGAAACTTGGTCACCGTGTTTTGCAGCTGTTCGTCCGTATCGGCACATCCAAGCCGAAGCAGGACACGCTCCAAAAGTTCTGCAATTAATTATAACAATAGAAAGGCATTTATTCCCAGAGAACAGAGCAAAGTGCAGTGTCATTGGAGTGATGCAAAATTTCATCACCGAAATTTTCGTCCCAATTCAAGTCACTCACCTAATTCCTCTTGCGGACTCGATGCCATTGTCGATCAGTTTCTATTAGCGCACAATTTCCCAAGAAACAATAGGCAAAGTTTTCCGGAAAATTGCGAAAATTACGGCACTTTTTATACAATCGTCACAGAAAATATTTTGTTTTCACTGCATACTGTACAAACGTCAACCGTCGAAGCAAACACGACAGCTTGCATGGGCGTGCTACGAAAGGAAGGGGCTTCCCGGTGTCCGCTTCGCCCAGCGAAAACATCAACAAATCGACAAGGGGTGATGCGCCAGTAGCATTTCAGATTTCAGAGGACATATTCTCGGAAATATTTCAACATTTCAGGACAATATGCTCCTGCTGAATCTGCCTCGGAATCTGCCCCAATATTTTTTGAAATTTTAAATTTATCAGCAATACAGCCTATAATCAACAATCAATACGAAACTAACGATTTTATCGATTAGCTTTGGACCGAAGATAGTACCAGAGCTCTTCGGGACCTTCTGGTCTTAGAGTTACCTCTATGCTATAATCACAGATGATGATAATGTTGACAGCCTGCATATAAAATTCATGAAAATTAGCGTTAAATCATAATTTTCATCAAGCCTGTGTAAAATCCTTCCAATATAACATTCGAATTGAAGAAGAAAACGTTTTTACGATCAGACTGATGTGCATCTTTGACTTTTCCAGTTGAACTTTCATAAGATATATTCATTTCATTTCGCGGCTCCATCACTGCTGCATCGTAAATATGATGTAAACAGAAGTAAATTGCTCAATTACTCAAAATAAAGATGATTTGTAATCTTGTTATCACTTTGAAGACCATCTAGCACCATTTTATAGTATGGTGCGTGTTGAGTAAAGCAAGTTCCGTTGCGATTTCCGTCGAAAATTGTGAGCACAGACAAACAGACGTAACTCTTTGAAAAACTTGTTCTTGAAAACATAGTATCTCAAAACATATAACCTCAGTAACGACATCTATCTGGCTTCTCGCGGAAAACAAGCTTGCTCGCTAACTCGTAAACAATATTGCATAAAATTTCTATAGAATATATAGAAACGTCAAAGTGATCCGATGCCAGCGCTGCGGCGAGTAGTTCGCGGAACTGATAATATTCAAATCAACCGTTAAATGCATGAACGATGATACACAATGAAGAGATACGTCTGTTTGTCTGTGTTGTGAGTATCAATATGTTTGCTTAGAAAAGGCCAAAATGAACATTTATTGAATATTGGCGTCCTATACAACCAATTCTCCATTACCACCAGCATGATACAACCTTTTCTAAGTAAATTAACTTAATTTCCACTTTCATCTTAGTGGAAATCGCACATATTCACCATTTTCCGAAAAATGCAGCTGCGCAGGAGGTAACCTCTCGCTGTGGGTGCAAACTTGTTATGCATTATTTTCCATTAATTAAATTAGTTTTTTTTTATTATTAGCAATTAGTTTTCAAACACGTTTTCTTACACGATTCAAGCAAAAGTTTCCACGGGAAATTATTAGTTTTTCTTTATGGACCGATTTGCCCCAAAAATCGTCTGTCTTACTTGGAAAATTTGGAAACTATCCTCCTTCTAGTAGTTTTCACTTCGAAATGTAGGAGGCGAAAGCTTGGAAAAGTTTCACTGCAAGACGCCAATCAATTAATCATGTTTTGTTGTTTTTGACATCCTCCACATCCAGAGGGCCAGTCACTTTCGAATGTATGGGAATGGTAGGAAACTATTTGGAAATGCATTGAAATTTTCAGTTTTTATTCATTATCGTCTTTATGGGCAGTTTTAGATGCACAAAAATTGCACGAGTACATTACTATGGTGGTAAGGTAAACACTCGTTTATTTGTTTCCTTCTATGAAATCATGTTTAGTCCCAAATCGTGGATTTTCTGATATTCTCCATACTGTAAAAATGATTTTCCTACCACTGAAGGGGCGACATCTCTCGGATCTTCAGTATAGCTACTACTTAAATCATATCGCGAAACTGCACCAGTGCATGCGACACCTAGGTTTGAAATCCAAAACCACAAAAGTGATGATGTACTAAAAAATATTCCATACGATTTGACAGCTAGCAAAACGTCATTATCATTTTCACATCATTTCCATCTGCTGGCCGACCACAACGTAGATTCATCAATTAATCATGTTTTGTTGTTTTTGTCATCATCCACATCCAGAGGGCCAGTCACTTTCGAATGTATGGGAATGGTAGGAAACCATTTCGAAATGCATGAAAATTTTCAGTTTTTATTCATTATCGTTGTTGGAAATCACCTTGAACCCCTCGCACTACATCCCTGGAATGGTCATCGTCTCTACGTACAGTCCACTATTCTTTGTGTCGTTGGCTACAACTGCACTATATCCAGGACAGATAGGCAGGAGCTCGTTGTTTACGGTGTGGTCATCTCAGCAACATCTACCAAACACACATAGGCTATGTGGTGGTGAGTTACGATCGGCCTGCGGGAGAGGATAATCGTCCGTTATCTCTTATCGAGATCGTGGCCGAGAGATCGATCTGTTCATCGGAGCGGGATCGAACTTACGAACCCCAAATACATCGAACGGCAGCTCAACCTGATCGTCGCTGGGAGATGAAGCTAGTGGCTATCAATTCGCCGGTGAAAACGGTTCGATCGAGGAACCATATATAGTTTTACACTTATGATTAGGATTAAGTAGTAATAAATAGATGTTAAAGTAATCGTAAATAAATGTGTTTCGCGTAATGTGTTTCAAGTAATGTGTACCTTAACTGTACGACGCGTGTGAAGAAAGGCCTGATCATTAAGCCCGTCATCCCTATGGAGCCATAAAGGTTGGTGAAACCTAAACTTCATGTCGGCAGAGCTATCGGATCCGACATTTGGTCCTTCGAACCGGATCGGGGGAACCGGTTCGGTGAGGTTTGGAGAAATCTACACGGCGCAGTATCTTCACAATTGGGCTTCGTTCATGGCGACATTCTGCATTCCTGCTGCCTAGGTTGGCGCCACTACCCTGAGAACAAAGGTTCAGCCATTGCGCATCTCGATCGATTATCTCAACCCAAAAGATTCAGCCATTGCACGCATTGATCGACTCTCGCCTTTACAATCGCGCCATTTGGACTTTTCGGACTGGGCTTCAGCGCAAGAGGACTTCTCCCAGGTGAGTTGAACCACAACTATATGTCCAGCCGAAGCTGGCATCTTATTCTTGTGCTAATACCGCTTTTCGATTTACCGGCAATCGAGCTTCGTCTGCTGCATGTTCTGGTTGCACATCTACGTACTGCAATCGATAGTCATCTTTTATTGGAGGATTCCAATGTCGAGATCTACATAGCATATACCTTGCTGACCAACGCGATCAAAGCCTTGGTACGATTTGGCGCAGGCAATGTCCGTCGTCCACCACCGAAGCTACTAAGTCATCAGCAAAGACACCATACTCGCCTTCAACCAAACGGATTGAGCTTTGGAATTTTTCTACCCTGAACGTTCACCGAAGCATCCTTAACTCATCTGTGGATTTCGGAGTACGCATAACGAAGAGGGAGCATCGAACTATGTTTCTCCAGGTCAGTGTAGAATATAGTATATGTCAGCCGAAGCTAGGCTCAGAGATTACACGTTGGTGATTTATGTTTTTTCCTCTTCGATCGTATCCATATCCATTACTCACACACTGTAAATTGAGTCGATTGATTGAGGCCCGTATTCAGTGAGCAAAATATTTCCTGGTTTCCGATTTGATGGTTTAATTTCCGAGAAGAGTACTACTGCTTGTTTCTCCAGGTGAGGCACAACAGTATATGGCCAGTCGGGGCCAAGGTTCTCTTGATATTACATCCTGAATTTCCTTTCGACTCCATTGATCCCTTACTGAAACGAGGCGTGACGTCACATGTGAGCTGCTGCGACTGGTGGCTAATTTCATCGTTTGTTTTCGCATTTGGGAACAACATTATTTTCGACCAGGTAAAATACAGAATAGTATATGCCTGGCGAAGCTAGGATCAATCGCAGCATACTACACCGCTACTGTCTTCTCTTCTCGTGTGTGACGAACAACCACTATGCAAGTCGGCAAGAAACCGCCATCCCTCAGGGCACTGAAGATGATGCTGAAGGACACACAGTCATGCTTCAACGACATCCTACAGTTCGCGGACGGCTTTAAGGAAGGTGTTTCGATTACAGAGGTGGAGGTACGCTTGCAGAAACTCGACGAACTATGGGAAAGGTTCAGCGAAATCCTAATCGGGATTAGATCTCATGAAGACTTCCCGGAAGACAGCGACGCCTACGAGAAGGAACGGAAACAGTTCAGCGACAGTTATTACCGAGTTAAGTCATTCCTCGTCGACAAGATCAAGGTGAAATCTGGACCATCGGTACACGATCAATCCATTCATTCATCAGAGTCAACAGGTCAGGGCGCTTCTGGTCATGTACGCCTTCCTCAAATAAGACTACAGATGTTCAATGGGGATATTGATGAGTGGCTTAGCTTCCGGGATCTTTTCACTTCCCTGATCCACTGGAAAACCGAACTACCGGAAGTTGAAAAGTTCCACTATTTGAAGGGCTGCCTTCAGGGGGAACCTAGAAGTATAATCGATTCGCTGCAGATGACCAAAGCCAATTATCAGATCGCTTGGGATACTCTGTTGAAGCGATATAACGACAGTAAGTTACTGAAGAAGCGCCAAGTACAATCGCTGTTCAAGCTGCCTAGTATCTCGAAGGAGTCGGCCACTGACTTGCATATTCTGCTGGAAAGTTTCGAAAGGATCGTTCAAACTCTCGACAAGCTTGTACAACCGGAAGAATACAAGGATCTCCTTCTGATGAACCTCCTTACAACGCGTCTGGATCCAGCAACGTGCAGAGGATGGGAGGAGTTCTCATCGACCCAGGAGAAGGACACACTGAAAGGGCTCTCGGATTTCCTGCATCGTCGTGTCCAGGTGTTGGATTCTCTACCATCTAAGGCGGTGGACAACAAGGGTGTCGGTCCACCACAAGGGTCAGCCAAACCGAAACCGATGGTGAAAACAAGCTACGGTACGATACAATCGTCTGGGGGGCGGTGCGTAGCGTGTTCAGCGAATCATCTACTGTAT